ACATAGTTGCTATTTTACTCCAAACTGTTCTGATATTCAAAAATAAAAAATAATAAATAAATATTTAAAGGAACTCCATTGTATTGATGTCGCTCTTTTCGTTGCCGAGCCTATGCATAGGTTTAGACTTGGCATCGTTTATCTTTTTTTTGCAACTCTGGACCATTTTTTCGTATCAGCGAGCTGCCATGTGACCGAAAAAAAAAGATCAACACCTGCCCATTTTTTTTAGAGTTTTCGAAAATATCGTCGCTAGCGTTGCGTGCTTCACCAAATCAAAGGTTATAATCCAGTGCTTTTCACGGATCACTTTTCGTTATGTAATTGGGACTTTCTTTTTTGCTGTATGTATTCGGCAAACGTTGTACTGGTCCTTTGTCACATTTCATGGGCACATGTAAATTTCTGTGTAAATTTCCAAAGTCGTACCGGTTTTGTTTCAGTTTTTGGTACATTATTCATAGGTCAGATCAACGCGGTCAGGATTATCCTTCTCAGAGATCATTCCTTTGTAGAAGTAGGAGTGCTACTGCATTGATCATGAGCAGGAAAAAAAATATGAAAGGTAGAAGGAAAGTCAAGCGCAGAAAGTGGTCAATGGAATGAAAATATTTTGTTTAGACGTTTCATACTCTCTCCTTCATTGAAAGTAGAATTCAAGATATTTAGAACTTTCTGAAAAAAGGTGATCGATGTGCTATGGTAATACTGAGTTAAGTTTTTTGCGAAAGTCCGTTGTTGATTTCTTCCGATTTCTTTGTGGAACATTGTGTTTCTAGCTAAAGTAAACGATATCGTAATCTAACAATGCCCAGCTATTTTTTGATGAAGCAATTATATTCCTCCTATTTGCACAAGCTAAGTGTGAAGCTTGGACTGGAAATAGCATCTCATCATCGAACCATTTGTAGACATCATGGACCAGATTGTATATGCACAACATATTCTGCTCAGCTATTTGTCGCTGTTTATCTCTTCTGATGCTCGATGCTGTTCCAAGCATCAAAGTGTACTATTTGTTTGCTCTTGGAATGCTTTATAAGAAATCACCGTGTCATGTTATTTATATCATTCGTATTATTTGACTGCAGTTTTCATTCTAAATATCATCAAAACACCGATCATTGTAAAGGCTATTGCATGACGAAGCCGCAATGGCGATATTAGTTGAGCGGGCGCGAATGCGGCGCGCGCGTATCCTCACCGTTGTAAATCCTGCGCCTTCTGCGCTCTGCGGCTAATAAAGCCGCGTTACGCGCTAAAATATTGCGCCTTCGTCGTGCAGCAGCCTATACAGTTAAAGTCACAATATTCTTGCATTGCTGGTATTGCAATGAGCAAATTATTTTGTCCATTTTTTGCAAAGAAATTTTCCTGGAAATCTTCTCAACGCTGGATATCTTGCTTGAATATGTTTGTGAAGAGCCTATCTTAGCAATCGATATATCGATTGCATTGAAAGTTTCATACCTCAAATTGTACCGTAACCTCCTGCAGATTGCTATTTTCGCTAGGAATTTGGAAACAGATAATAAGTTCTGTAAAGCTACCCGATAATAATCTCTCGTTTTTTTCTGCAGGATTAAATAAAAAGTTTTGTTATCAAAATTTTCGAACCCTTGCTGCCACTATTAGCATTGTATCTTAAAAAATTCAAATCCCGACTTACCCAACAAAGCAGTCAATTTACATCTCATGCGTCAGCTATGAGAGCATGGTTTTTTCCTTCAGAATTCTGCATAATAAAGGAAATTGTGAATGAGCATCAATGACTTGCATAACATTTTCGTTGTTTCTTTCTGATTTCCCATTTCGTTTAACCCGTTATACTTCTCGCTTCAATTGTTGTGTATTATCGGGTTGGAACGTAAGAATTGCATAAAAATCAAAATTCCGTATTATTCTACAAGTTCAATGAATTTGCTTGCAATAAATAATATGGTTTAGAAAGAAATATCTCACTTTTCCGAAAGTTTTGAGAGCAAGAAACATCGTTGTCATATCGCGGCTACAGAATGTTTTGTATGCAAACACTCAAATTGCGTGTTTCCAAATTTTAATCCCCAAAAAATGCTGAAAGGCACAAAGGTTCTCAAAATTACTTTTTATATGAGTTTTATGATCTACCACTTTTAGATAAGCTTGCGCGCTAATACGACTTTTTTACAAGAAGTTGTAGTTTTTGAATTTTTATTTGGAGGCTTGATAATGTTCGAAATAAAATCTTTATTGTCTGCGATAAAACACTTATCAATCTTACTTAATGAAAAAAATATTATACAGATTGAAGGGCACAGGCTGCTCTGAGCATTTTGAATGAATTTTTTGGAATTGTTGGTGCAAGATTGTGTGGGTAGAGGAACGAACACCTTTATTAAGCACCGCCTCCGCGGACTACTGGTACACGATGCACAACTGTAGGACGAAAGGACCAGCAGCCCGCGGAGGCGGTGCTTTGAGTTGTTCATTCCTCTAGCCGACTTATCTTCCTACCTAATATATCCTTCGTAATTTCCCTTTCATTTGATCCACACTTAGTTTTTGCTTTTGAGAGTGACATTCAGATATCAGCTTCATTTCCGCTGCGCACTTTCAAGACTAACATTTTATCGTTTTGTGATAATCTGTGCTAGCTAATCCCGCTATTCTTTCGTTTGACGTCGATGATCAGCCATCAGACATCGCAGTGTCCAGCGTGCAATTAGCAGCCACACCTATGCAACGAATGCCTTTTATTAGTCAGTGGCGGCGATCAGTGCCGATTAAGAAGCCACCGACTGGGAGCAAAGATCTCCCCGCAAACTCTTGGTCACCATGTGACACTGCCTATTTATACGTTTCACGCTACTGTATATATTACCTGCAAAATGCACTCGCGTAATATTTGATGTCTTGTGTGTGGGTTATGGGGCAAAAATCATGAATATTATGATATTTTTGCATTTATTCGAGTCGTCAGTTTGGTTCGTTCATGCAGACTAACGCAATGTTTTAAAAAGAACCGGTGGTTTACAGTCGAACTATTTTGTATCCTGATTTGTGCAACTGCACACAGTATGCACATTGCGCATCAAGAAGTCATGGATTTCTCTGGTTGCCGTGCATACTTCTTGGCGATAAAATGTTTTATAGTTTTTTTACTGGCCTGACTTCTCGTCCAATTTTAACGCACTACTTTCCTTCGGTGCTTAAAAAGAAAAAAGTGCTGAAGAATATCGAGCTTCATGCGCAAGACTCGCTTTCGCGTGGCTAGAGTTCTAGTTTTTACGCAAAATATGTATCTTATGTGTAATTACACACAGAAAGTTTGAAGCGGGTCGGCTATACCTCGCCCATACTTGGCCTATAAACTTTTCACAATCCATTCACTTATTATCAAATTATCGGGCGTAGTGTTCACTTTCTTCTTGAGTCCCCTTGGAAGAAGAGTTACTTTTTTCTAAATTGTAAAGATTTATAAAGATTTGTAAATTAGATTAGATTTGCAAAGAAGAATCGTTTTTTAGTTGTCGAGAGTTTTTCGTCTGCGCATTCATATGGATACCTTCTTTCCTCACCAAGTTTCATATTTTGTTGGATTTGCTAGCCTTTCTCACATCTATCTACAATTTTGTCACCTAATCCGTCACTTTAATCAGTAATCCTACCAATTTTCGCACAATTTACGCTTCCTACTTCTTGGGTGATCAGTTACATATAAGCATTCTTTTGATATGGTTAATATTCCTATTTGTCACAGCACCCACTTTTTATTTTTGGTCCAAGTGGACGAAGAAACTTCGCAAGCACTTTCTCCACATTTTTCGTTCTTTACCTAACCGTGTGAATGTGCGACTAACTGTGTTGCTCTAAGTTATCCCATTTCTTTACTAAACGTGAGAAAGCGGTAGTGCTTATTGAACTCTATAGTTCTCATGTCTATAAAACAATCTTTAGATTTTCACATTCATCCTAGCGAGATGAAACAAATTTTTTTTTTCCGAAACTGCTGTAAATGTGATCCAGGAAAGCTCTCATGTTCAGAAAAATTTCTAGAGTTCGAAAAATTGAAGTTCATGGTTGAAGCCATGCGATCTTCTCTCTTTGAAGAAGATTCTTGTCGCATCACTCCGCTTCTAAAAAATTTTTGGGCGCTACTGTCTAGAATGTCTAACAATTTGTTGGGGCGGAATTTTAACTTTCACTTGTAGCCCTAATGACTTCCATGAATAGGCCAATGGCAACGTCCAACCAACTTTCGGTATCCATGTTTTCATCGTTCTTGGTTTATTTCATGCCATTTCAATGATGTGCCATTTACCTGAAGAACCCCATTTACTTTTCTAGAATCTCATTTCAAAAGTTTGGACGAGTTTCCGGTGTTAGTCTATGCAGTCCATTATGCAACAGGGAATAACATAGTATGCAACAGGGATACACTTATACAGTACGCGTCTGAAGCGTTTTTTCATGTCAAGGGGCATAAGGCGTAGTCGCCTATGTGGGCGGGGCTGATGGAATGGGCGGGCTGTGCTAGAATACCCGTAGATTGCGGGTCCCCTTTTCTCTCTTGAAGATATAGATAGGGGACCGGAGTGTACAGTCATTTTTATAAAAAAGAGATTTCGAAAATTCAGCTTTCATCAAGATTTTACTTTTTGGCGTCACTTGAGTAATCACAAGAATTCAACTGCACTATCGGTAACACTATCGGTGTCAAATTGTAACCTTGGAAATGATTTTCCGTTGGGAACTTTGAAGAGCGCTGTCCACGTGATTTCGAACTTGCGCGTCTCGTTCCGTTCCGAAATTCCACGTTCTTTTCTCGGTCTCTCCGTTTCCCGTCACTTTTCACGCTCCATCACGCTATCACACCATCTCCTTTCGTGTCATCCATCCAAGCGCTCGCATTCCGGCCGAATCCAAAATCAAAGGTCTACGAGAGCAATAAATTTCCTTGCAGTTCGCATCCCATTCGCACTGCGTGTCTCCTTCCAGTGTTTATAGTCTCGGCTTTCCAGATGTTCAACACCCTGGCGTCTCTCGACCATTCGGACGTCTTCGATGGTGTGGCGTCGACTGCGCTCGACGAGCTGATCCGCAACTCGGCCGCCGCGCTCAGCGGCCACAGCGGTCTTTCGGGTATCCAGCCTATGACCGGCCTAAACGGCACACAATTCGCGCAATCTAACAGCTTGGTGAACTCGCAGGACGCGCCCAGTCGAGGACGCAAGAAGAACTCGAGTATGAACCTCGTCTGCGTCGTCTGCGGCGATCAGGTACGGTAGTTGCAGTTTGAGTTATTACGCTACTGTAATCCTCTTTGAACAACCGCCATGTGTAATTGCACCATTTCTTTTCTCTGACATTTGCGAATTCAAGCAGTATCATCGAAGTATCGCACACCACGCACGCTACTTCACGACTTGCAAGACGAAAGATTAGAACCTGTTAACTTCAAATTTTCTCCTTCTTCTTTCTTTTGTTTGATCATATTGTTCTAGATGAGTACACCTTTCCACAGTTTCTACCGCTAGAAAAGGTTTTCTCACGAGTATCAAAAAAGTGTCGTGGGGTGCGGCGCGTAGTGTGCAGAAACACAGATCAAATTACAAGTGAACTTGCGCATATACTAGCTTCCTTTGAACATCGCTTGCATAATTGCGCTATTTTTTTTACTTTCTCGGGCAAATGCATAAAATATTAGGGAAGTCTACGAAGTCTTCAGCGCGAAGCGAAAGCGGCGGTTTCGCTTCGCGCTGAAGGCTTTAAGCAGCCCGCTTGCTGCCAGTTCTGACGCAGTTCTCAGCGGAAGCGACAGTGAGGCGATGAGGCCACCGCGCTTTTGTTGGGTTTTCGCGGTGGCTTTGTGGCTGCCGGCTGAGAGCCTGTGATTGTCTGAGTAGTGACCATATTTCCTGACTTCAAGCGTTGCGGCCAGCAAGCCATGCTGACTGTCCTTCACCCATTACAGCAGTGGTACTTTGGGTGGTTTTGCATGTTTTACTGCGCAGATAGTGCTAGAAGTTCGTAATTTGTCGAAGTTATTGACTTTGCGTTTTAGCAAGTTTAAAAGTCATCAGGCACACAAGTGACCTTGTATAAGTACTATCTGAAAGAGAATGATATATTCTAATATTTATCGATATTAGAAAGTTCAATCGCCTTTCTTGAGAAACTACATTATTTTCTAGGTGTTCCATTTTTTCCGTTACTCTAATATATGCTTTTTCCTACTTTGTGCAACTGTCGTTGAGTAACTTTTCAATATTTAGTACAGTTTTTCGATAATATTAGTCTCTCTACCGCACAAGCTGCTCTCATGCAGAGTGGTGAAATTACACGAATCTACTGTTGGAATGAGGACGACTATAGTTTACTGTTCTTCAGGCCTTTGGAAAACATTATGGAGTAAATGCATGCAATGGATGCAAAGGATTCTTCAGGAGAAGGTTAGCTTTTTTAAGCATTGCTATAGGCATTTTTCTGTTCTGGTCGCAGTCGTTCATGGAAGAATGCGAAATGTTTTTACGTATAGTTGATTCGTTGACCGCACGGATTGGAATTTACTGCGGGCACGCGCCGCGAGGTAAAACGCTTATCCCAATACAAATTCGCTATTGTACTAGTCGCGCTCTCGCGAGAATTCAGCCGCGCCGCGAATGGTCCGCAGGGAGCAGTCCGTGCGGTCAACGAATCGACGATAGAAAGTTTAGCATCTCCACATAATTGGTTCTCATGAATCAATGAGGAGAGCAGTTGCATTCCCATTTATATTTGTATGCTTTCTCTTTTTGCAAAAATTCATCAAAACACGACCATCTGGAAGAGAAAATATCAGTTTTTGACAAAATTCACTGTTATGAGATCTCAAAGCTTCCACGTATTTAGCGCTCGATGTAGTGTCGCTGCGGTGACAACAACATTTGCGCGGCGAAACTACCGTGGCAGAAAGTTACATTCGTGCAAAGTTACACTCGTGCAAGCTATGGTCATCTTATACGCATGTGTTGTCGCACTTTCATAGGCATTATATGGTGTCGAGCAAGCAGTTTTGTGCAAAATCAAATAAAAATTGCTTAAAGTTGAAATTGAAATGAGTGATCGGTTTTAGTGGGCTGGTTTTTTTTCTCACAGAAAAAACTCATTGATTAAGCACTTGATTGGTCCCATTCAGTGTGTGGAACAATCGCCAGTACATGTGTCGTTTTGACGGACAGTGCGCCATAGCCAAAGGTTTGTGCATTTTGGCTTCTACAGTGTTGAAAAGCTTATTACTAAATCCTACTACTTCTTTCTAAATTCCTTCCTCCTCCTTCCCCCCCCCCCCCCCCCCGCCTCCTAGACGAATGCTATCTTCAAAGCTTGAACGCCCTCGACCTTACTCAGAAGTGGAAAACAAAAGAGGTGCTGGTAGATCGGGTGCACGGAGGAAGTGAATACAGTCTTGCTCACCACCACCAACTTTTCTTTTACCTTTCGCGTCTCTCTTGTTCTTGACGATTCGCATATTGTGAAGGCACAGCGCATGATTGTGACTGCATTTGCATAGATGCGACCGAATGTTAGCGACTATAAACTGGCATGTATGACAGTTTATAGTCACTAGCATTCTAACGTCTTTTAGTGAATTGTTCAATCGCAGTCCAACCAAGGAGAATTTTGATTGGTGTTTTTCCTCTCCTCGCTCTACCACTACTTTATTTCAAAGATATGATGTTGCTGAACAGATCAAAAGCGAGTCTTGAACGAAGGTGCATGCCCAAATGCGGTAATAGTTGCATCCGAAAGCGCCACGCTGGACGTTATTAGCCTCTACTCTGAGCATACCTTGCGCCCCAAAGACAATAGCTGCGCCACCGCCGCGTTCGCGAGCTTCGCGAATGGATCATCTGCCTTTGTCTGGGACTTCAGTTTAATCCCTTTTGGCCACCACTCTTTTTGGCTAAGGTGATGATTCGTGCACTTTTTTGTTACAGAACATCGAAATGTATGTCGAGCTTGCCGGTTGAAGCAATGTTTCATAGCAGGAATGAATCCAAGAGGTGAGTGAAACAGTACTACGAGTGTCGTTATGCTATGAATAGCAAGAGTACGAGTTTATCTTTCAGCCGTTCAGTCCGAGAGGGAGCGAAGCGATCCGATGCATGAACTGGATGATGCTGACGACGACTATCGAGAAAACTCCCCGGATAGGTTTGTTGTGGTAAAAGAATTCACCATGTTTGTTAGAGGTAGACAGCTAGCTGTAACAGTGTACCTGCACAGATCGCTATTTTAGATGCTCAGTTGAAGTGCAAACAGACCAGTGCTCAGTTAAAGCCGATACCCTTCCTAGTCCAGATGTCGAGTTGAGCAAGTGAGTGTCTAAGCTATAGATTCGGCTACGCTGTTCCCAAAAAAGCCTTTATTCAAATAAATCAAATTGTTTTTGTTGTTGTTTGATTGTTGTTCAAATTGTTTAAATCAAATTGTTCTCCTAGCAGGCTAGGGTATCCGCGAAAGTATAGCGAGTTCTACAACATGACACGGAGATCCACTTGAGTAAATTATGTAGAGAAACCAAAATCGACAAAAGTCTTAACACCTGAAAACTGGATTCGAAAAGATACTACGAAGGTCCACATGGTCCTCCTACAGAGATACATAATATATTCATGAATGCAACTACTAGCATTTTTTTTTCGCACTTGGGACAGAAAAAAAAAGATAGTTCAAAATGGCAAACTCCGCCCCAGCTCTTCTCCCATGTGATTGTATATGCAAGCCTTAGTAAGTATAACATTCAAAGTATGTATACCCTTGTAGATATGTGCCTTAGTTTACCATAAAAAACCAAAAAAGTACTTTAGAAGCATTTTTGAATATTTTTTTCTTGATTTTGGGGCGCCAACAAAATTCAGCAAATACATTTAAGAGTCTGCTAGTTGCTGCTGTGTGACCAAGTAGGAGGTTTATAGGAATTTCTTGCAAGAGGGTCCAATTTTGTAGGCATCCTAGTTGATTCTAGTTTTGGCTTCAAACTTCACCTCACGACAGGTGGATCTTTGGTACTTTACAAAGCTTGTCTTGCTCTATCGAATAATACCCTCAGTTTGCTATGAAAGGTTTACTTTTGGGACTAATGTAATGTTCTTATGTTGTCGACAACAACTGCGCATAGAAAACGTATGGAACGCAAAACTCGAAAATGTGCGTGCATTTTTTTACGCGCAATTTTGTCGCATTCCATAGCAGTACTCGCCAGTGTCGTCAACGCTACAGGGACTCCATATTAACAAATGCTAGACCATATATGAGCCTTGTTCATATCGCTTCAACTAATTGCACCTTATTAAGAGCAGCTGACACATTGTTAGCCATGCACCGACAAGTGTGCAGTCGGGTGGATCCTCCCAGTGTTTCCGGTTTGTCACGGTCAGATGGTAAGTTTTCGTGTAATTCCACCAATTTTTATATGAAACATGGTTAATCATTGATGCGTGCAGCGACAATATCGACAGTAAAGTGATCTGATTTTTTTGGTTGTTAGGACAAACTAAAACTTTTCAGAAACTCTAAGCATAGGTATGCTACGTACGCAGTTCAATACCTCTAATTTCGTCCTTTAAAGAATTCAAATGAATGCGTTTTCGGCAAATAATATTTTTCTCACATGCTGTTGTTTCACACTAAAAATGCTGTTTCGAACTCGCAATCAATAATTCAAAGAGTATCATTCTCACGCCACTGGGCATGTGCTGCTGCTTAATTGTTAGAGAAAAAGTATCTATGTTCCTGTCTACTCAATTCATGTTACTATAAAACAAACTTTCTAGAAAGTAACACTGACGTTTTTAGGTTTATCTTCTGCCAGTGTGTCCTTTATCAACGCTTTCTACAATCCCAACATGATTTCCGCTAGAACACCAGTATGTTCATTGCATTTTGCTGTATCACTAATTCTTAGCAACTTTTGTTTTCACCATTTAATTCCTTATTTATTGCTCTGAACAAAGTTTTTTTCCGGCTGGTACTAAATACTAAATAGCTTAGAGAGGATTTGTTCAGTTTTTGTGCTTGTGACAATCAATCGACATCAGCTGCCTATTTTAGCTGGTCATAACCGCCGAACGCGTAGCGACTTTGAAGGATGTAATGCAAGACTGGCGAAGGAGTTTCGTTTTGTTTGTGGATTGGTTGCATGCCTTACCCGAATTTGCTTCACTGAGTGTAGACGATCAGGTAAAAGTACATCAAGTGTGCTCTCTTCAAACTCTCTGTTTTACAGATATTAATAGGAAAAAGCAAATTCGGACCGTTTTACTGGTGGATGCTAGCAAATTGGACGAATGAAGCGAATTGTGACGGGGTCTGTTACGCTAATGGCACATATTTTCCTCGAATCGAGTCGCTGCAATGTTTTCCTGACGTTCGGTAGGTATTTTCTTGCTCCAAAAGAGCTTGGCGTTTTACGATGCCTGTTGCAGGGGTTGTAGTGAACGAATGGTCGTGACTTTGTCGGAGCCACTTCGGGAACTTCAGCTAGACGAAACCGAAAAGTCGTTGATGCTGGCTGTTATTGTATTCAGTGACGGTTCGTTCTCTTTTGATTGAAAAGCACGTACTATGCATATGTATTCCAGAACCTCTGGAGTTGTCCGTTTCCGGCAAGGAACATGCTCGGAGCATGGGACATCGTTTTGTTCGGATGCTTCATCATCACGTTCGCAATCGGGAACCAAGTTTGTCAAATGCAGCCATCGCTCTTCGGATTGCCAAAATTATGATTCTCCTTACTGCCACTACCGTGAGTTTTTTTGCACTTATTTCCCATCAATATTACTGTCTCGTCCGTGGATTTTCTATGATTTCTTCAGTTTTATGACCCACCCGCTCTCGTCATTTTCTTCTGCGCACATACGTGTCATTTTTTTCTCGTTCTTTTTTTCCTGTAGCAGTTAAAGAATTCGACGGAATAATCGAATCTAAATGAAGGGCAGGGTCCCATCTACATATCCCAAAAACATGTAATTTAAATAGCTTTTTTGGTATCGATTTGCATAGAAGTCTCATAATGTCACAAACCGTTGCCAAAAAAGCTTGTACTTGTGATAAATTTCGGAGTATGTGCATCTTTCAGAGTCTTTGCACTTGTGTGAACTTTCTAGAGCGGACATCGACAGTTATCTTTCTGATGACTAATCCTGTTAGCAAAACTGTTTCGAGAAAGGCTGAAGTATAGGGGATTTGTTGCGCACAAAACAGGGTGCCATGCAAACGCTGTCGGCGTCTCTCTGTCCAAGGGCACTTTCTCCTTCCTACCGTGGGCCCTCTCTTTAAGTCCGAACTATATTGGTTGGTCGCAACAAGTCCAGTGTCTGCGTGCGATGACTCCGCTCATAGTTCTTCTCTCCACTACTTTGACCCTGACTTGATAATCTCTCCACCCCTTAAGTAGTTAAAGAAGTTCATTTTTAGAATCTGGTCTACATGGCCAGCGACAACTTCCAACTTCACGATGTCTTGCACATAGTTGACTTCGATTCTTGGAATGACGACTTCTTGAAGAACAGTTTCAAAGATTCCATATGAGAAGGCGCAAGGCAAGTAATCTGAGCTTCTCAGTATCCACATTCCTCTCGCATAGACACGGTATTGCAAGTTACTTGTTACTTCACCAAATGTGATTTCTTATTCTACGTACTTACTGCATTCATTGATCGGGTAGCATTGAGTATTCGGTGAACGTCATATCTATCATTTGCAAATCGTTCGAGATAGCTATCATGTGATAAGCACAGCTCTATGGTCGAACTATTCGAGTTTGTGTGATTCGTATTATTGAGGCAAAAACCTCATGAAATTCAGGTTTTTCATTTCAAGGGAATGCTTAACGTTTATACATGTTTGTTTTCTCCCCCAAAAATTCTCGCCAGCGTTTATGAGGGAGTTTTGTTGATCTTGATAATGTTAGCTAGTGATCAGCGCTAGAGCGCTTCCTGATCAGGTGCACCGCTGGAACAATTCAATGATTCGCGAATGACCTATGTATTTTCGTGAATTCACTCAGCTTGCTAGTCCTGTTGAGATGACATTGTAAAATATGCTTGTTTCACATGTTTTGTTTTCATGATTAATTAAACCGTTGATAGGAAAACACTGGTTAATGTTTTGTGCTTTTCCTTTGTTTTGTTCTTTTTTTTGTCATGGCTGCTCATCTCCATGTGGCAATGATTATGGATTGGAGTTCATGAGACTCATAGGTTTGCGAGTCGCTAGATGCTATGTATAAAGAATTCAGGTGAATAAATATGACTTTTGTCTGAAGCTCTTTACAATTTATCCTATCATGTTCTGTAATATGCATACTTATTATGAGATATTTACGTATAGTCAAGTATGTTTGACATCAGTGTGTGCAATCGCATACCATTTTTCTCTTAGCCCGCCATACTTGATCCACTTGATCGCTTCACCCACTTCGCCATTGGTCAAATCAGTGGAATATCCAATGGCGAATTGGATGAAGCGGATCAAGTGGATTCGCCAAAAATTGTGAGCGTCTGTTGTAAATGCGATACTGTGCAATTGCACACACTTGATATACAAATGTACTTGACTAATTTACATAACCGTAATTGTTATAAGGCTTCGCCTTGCAATTGTTCATCAGGTAATGAATATTTGCTGCACGGTACCGTCGTCGACATCGTCGGATTCTTCGAACCTCGCGGTGCCGGTGGAGCCGTATTGGCTCGCCTCCTTTTTATACTCAAAGGTGTCCCTTTCGTCAGGTGCCTTTTCAAATCCAGTAGATCAATTTTAAGTTCGATCTGGAACTTGGCATATGATGTGTTTACGCCATTGTGTACGCTTATGGGAACCTACCATTTCAGGCTTTTCGGAAACTCCGTTGGCATATCCATTCTGAAACAAGAAGATTTTGGTTTGCACTAAATATGCAAGAAGAGAGTCTCACTTGGATAACACCGTTATCCATGCTTTTCTTCTTCTCCTTTTCTGCTTCTTCCAAATCTGTACAGGTGCCAGCCTCTACCTTTTCCTAGAAAAATAACACCTACTTAGTACATACCAAATGCACATGTGAACCTACCAGCGGTGGTGAATCAACATGGCTTGATTTTGCAGAAATACTGTCATGAATTCGTCTGCTAAGCATTTTTAACCGTCGGAAGGAATCACCAATGCCGATGCTGCCATTTTTCCGCGTTCGTAGTTGACTGATCGCTGATACTGTTTCCTCGAGCTGTTTTTCGTGTTCCTGATATCATCAGTATTGCTGATATGAATTGAGGGACAAATCAAAATTCACTTTTTTTGAAAATGACGTGACATGGTAATGATCAGTTCTAAACGAGCAGTAGTCTCAGATTTTTGAAGGGGGGGGGGGTGAGGGCTACATGAATTTTTTCAAGTAAAGAATCAGTGGCGTTAGCGTGAACGTGGAGAATTTTTTAGGATGCTTTACAAAATTTTGGGCGAATTTTCTTTGTCTACAACTGAATTTCAAGAAATTTCACGAAAATTCTCAGTTTACAGGTAAGAAAAATCACTGGCGTTTTAGACGCGTAGAGACTACCTTCAATCGCAGTCTATTCTTGGTGGGAGGGGGGGGGGAGATGCGCAGAAATCTTTGCCCAGTGCGTAAAGAAGATTTATAGGCAGAAAAGTGGAAGGATCTGTTGTTGAATAATATATTACTGAATTTGAACATGCTCCAAGTTAAGTTTTATATTTTTTAAAACCTACAATAATCCTTAATTTGTACTAGAAAAATCAATTTTAAATTGAAATTTTGAGTCTAAGAAGTTGAGAATAACAGTTATCTGTAGAAAAACCCGGTCGCTATAATTTTTACAGTTGAAAAGTGTTAGTCACCACTAAGAAAAACAAAATTGAATTTTCTAGGACCTTCTTGCATTTTTAGCGACCATTTGTTTCATCGACTCGGTACAGACTATCCTCATCGTTTATCATTCATCCCTTTGAGCGGTAAATACTCACAACCATAAAAATGACTGTTACCCGTAGATAATTTCCTCACCAGTTCTCGCTGCTTCTTATTGTACAAGTAGTCCCTTCGCTTTTTTGAAAATGCTATCCAGCCGATCTTCGATATAAACAGACTAATCTCAGTCACTGTGATCAGTGACATTCCCAAGAACATTCCCATGTTACCGCCGATGTCACCTGAAACACAAATACCTATTATTCCAGACAATGACAAGAACATCTTGGTGATTAGAGCTACTTACTGAGAATTTGGGTCAGAGATGTATCCTGTCGTTGTCGATATTCGGTGTGAGCCATATCTCGGAAGAAAACATTGAGCGTCAAAAAGTTCGATCTGTAAAATCTATTTTGCAAAGTTTACTGTAACTATATGACTCTGGATTACACTTGGTGATTCTTGGATCTAACTTTTCTCTTTTTCTCTTTTTTCGTTTGATATTCTTAAAAGTATAAGATGTTCTATACGCGGGCTTCTTTGCCTATTTGACACATTTTCGGGAAATGGACATACTATATTTTACAGAAATTGTCATGAGATCCATTGCTGAACGAACAAGCTAAGGCCGTCGTGGAAGGACCATTCTACACCCCTACTTTAATCGGATGCTTGTCTAATGGACCCGTTATACCTCGCCGAAAAAAAAGCCCAAAAGCGCCCAAAAAACCCGAAAAAGCCCAAAAAGCTCAAAGCTTCAGAAAAAGGAACTCCCTTTTCCGCATTTTTGGCGCTAATGTGTGTAGATTTCGCAACCGAGTCATTTTGCTTCCTTCTGTCGTGTGCATGTTTTAAATAATGGCAGAATTCAACCAAAAGTTCCAGGGGTGCTCCAGCTCTTTTTGGCGCTTTTGGGCTTTTTAGGCTTTTGGACTTATTTTGGCGAAGTATGTATGACAGGTCTCTAAAGCCGGAAACACGACTTATTCCAATCTTACCTCATATGGGCTTTGCTCCATTTTGGATTTTTGCGACTGAGTTTTTTCAGAGCGCCCTGGCTGAATCCATGCCCATAAGAGTTGTATGCATGATAGAAAAGGCTGCTACATTCCAGTTTACATTCCGCACAAAGTGGCCTATGGTAGTGATCGGTTCCTAAACTTGATCACACTCGATCTTCCAATCATCGCTACTAAAGAATTTACCATCAGTAGTTTGCACCCGAATCTGATCGATGCACTGCACAGTTTCATACGGCGTACAAGTAGGCAGAGCTAAAAAGCAGATGAAAATTGAATTTACGCGGCAGCACAATTTGCTCACCTTCATCGATGTTAAAGGCGAAAGGTGCACAGCCGCAACGATCATACATGAAGTTAGCCTGGAAGTAAATTCTGTTTAGCCATACGCGAATCTTTGAAGACTACTTCCGAACAAAGGCAGATGTCCGACATGAGATATACGCACGCAAACGGTCATCGCGGCTGCTATCCCGTGCGCCAATGGTATAGTTGACTTCACGGAATCGCCCGGGGCTGAACCCTGGCGAGCGTATCTCTTGCGGGCTAACATTGGCATTCGCGCACGAGTCATAATAGCGCCTATACTCTGCAATCGCGTGATAGGCACGCTCGCGCGCGTTCAGCCTACAGCAATATGGGCGATTTCTTGAAGTCGACTATAAGTACATGCTCGATAGCCGCTTCGCAATGATAATTTGCCTTTGTTTGGGACTAGCTTTCATTTGTACTCACATTGCACAAAGCCTTGCAATTCACAGCAGAGTACGGTAGATCTGTCGCGTATTTCTCTGGCCATTCATTAGTGCAGTTTCCCCACTCTTCTGGTGACAGCAAGACATACTGGAAAGAAAGCAGTTTATTTGTTGCAAGTTCGGCACATTAGGGTAGATTTGACAAGTGAGGTCCTATTAGGCCTTTTCAGATAAGTCTTATACCACTTTGAAGAGCATCAAACGATGATTTCAAATCTGATTTCGTTACCTGCTAAGCGCCCCTGCATGCCGAGTTATGAATATTTCTTGGTGCGAAAAATGACATAATCTAGGTAAAATCAAATATATCAATATTTTCAGCGCTTAAATAGAGCGGTGTTAGATGAATGTTTTAGACAGAAGGTGTTATTCAAATAGTGCTCTGACAATGAACATTGGACCATCTGAGCAATTCTGAAGAATTCTTCTCTAATTGCGCATTCAATTTTTCAACTCAAAAAAAAAACGCTCATGACTCACGTCCAGAGGCGCTCGGCAGATAACGAAGACAGATTTGGAATCAGCGTACGATGCTCTTTGCAGTCTTATCAGTTTCATGTGAAAGGGTCACTTCGACCAAACGAACCTTTCTTGTGAGTGTTACTTTTTTTCAGATGCTGATTGACAGATCTTAAACATCAGATACTCATAATTATGCATGTTTTTGTAATCTTTGCCCATAAGCTGAGTTTCGAAGGAAATTTTTCTCTCAAAGAGACTTTTCATGGAATCTGGGAGGCATTTTTTGTCCCTTGAATGTGCTTTCGTTCTCACAAATCTTCGTTAAAGATAAAAGAGCAAAACTTGAGAGTTCTGTTCTAAATCCATAAAAATAGTCGAGTTGTTTCGAAAAATTATGCATGAGAACGACTTTCTAGCTTCGGAATTCTTCTTTTTGAGCAAAAGTTCCCACTAGTTTTCGGTGGGGCTGCGCTTTTACAAAGCATCAAAATCTCACAGTCTTTTTCGGACATTGTCTCTTAGAACTGAAGAAGGCGACAGACATAACAGCGTAACATTAAAGGCAGTGTCCCGGCAAAAATACGATTTCCGGCTTCTCACCTTTTCGGAGCCTTCTCGCCATGAGAAACCCATATGTGGACTTTTCAGAACATGAAAATGGCAAAAACGAGTTGTTCTCGAAGCTTTTCAGGTCCGCATTCAGTGGAAAATACGTGAAAGTGGGCGGAAACCGAAACGAGGGGGGCGGAGCACGGAAGATTTCCGGCGCATTTTTATTGGATGCGGACTTGAAAAGCTTCGAAAAAGGCTCATTTCCGCCATTTTCGTGCGCTAAAATGCCCGAGAAGATTCCAAACAGGTGAAAAATTGAACAATGTAATTCTGCCTAAACGCTGCCTTTGATCTCATGAAAAGGGTTTTTTTGCGCACTTCCACACGCTGGGTAACTTCAGTTCCGAGCAAAATCGGGCAGCGCTGAACTTTTACTCAAACTGTACCCGTTTAGCGAATCAGTCAGAATTTTCGAGTACGGTAGATATGTAGGTGGCTACCTTTGCTTAGATATTGTCCTCAGCTGTTCTTATGCTACACTCACTGCTTTTGCAGTATATTTTAAAATTAGGGCTTACCACGCTAGTGGAGATCGCGGAATACACACGCATCCCAGGCGAGACACTAATACCCTCAGAGACGAGATACGGTATAGTATCGGGCGCATGCACATAGTACCGAAATCCGTTCTCGTAAGCATTGGTGAATACAGCGTCGATATCATCTGGATATGATATGTTTCAATTATCTGAAGTGCGATCATTCCGTATACCTCCTGTCCCATCGAACTGCTCTTCCATATGTGCATCAAGAATTAGTTGAAGCCTAGAATATCATGAATGTAAGCAAAAAAAGTAAAAGTATGAGCTCTCAGTTGTGTAAGCGTGCCCGTTAAATTTTCACTTTTTGAGTGCCAATGCTGCTTTTGTCTTTGGAAAAAAAATTTCAAATTGCGCTATTGCTCCAGTAGAGTGGATTTTTTTCCAGGTCAGCAAAGATTCATTTCGGCAAGAAGAAAAGATTTATCGCATACTGTAAGTATTTGTGCGTGAACTCTAAATGTAAGACCAGGTCCAGGCAGATCTGAGTACCTGGGTTTATTACCTTAGTGACGGGGGAATCCTAACTGAAAGTATGCGGAGCTTATATGATTTATGCGTGACCAAGAAATCCATTGAACCTCTAGCCACTAACGACTCTCTCCGAGTGGACCAATCAGCGTCCTCGAGTACGGTACGTTGTTGACGCTCAGAAAGAGTTCGGTATGGGGGGGGGGGGGAGGAGGAGACTTTAGGGTGGAATTCCTTGATCACAAGTTTACATAAGGAGTCTAGGTCACTAAACTTCCCTTATGAATCTGTGTTCAATTTTGGCATCCTAATTAGAATTGGCATGTTTATACTATCGTACTACTTTAGGTAACATTTGGGGCTTTTGTGAGAATATTCTAATCATAAGGTTGGGTGCAAATAATCTTGCGAATCCATATGCCCATTTTAAATGAGCGATTCGAAAATAATAGACAGAGAAATGCAGCAATTTAAGTTTCTTTTGCAGAAAACGAAACCAATATTGCGAATCTGACTTACCCAGCGTTAACTCCAGCGACGACTTGCTTTTGAAACCATTCCTTAGCTGCTCGAAGGTCCAACGTCTGACATTTACCAAGGTTTGTTAACTTTGCTTGCGTATATTTACAGCAGTCGAACTGTCGTCCAGCAAACGAGCAAAGCTTCATCGTTTCCGAGCAATTGAAGCTAAAGGAAAGGTTGTAAGCAGTAATAAGTACAGGTTTTAGGTCCGTCTAAATTAGCTAGAATTTTGGAAATAAGTCCGCTGTAAGCCTAGATTTTTAGCTCCAAGAAAGTCTATCTCTTCTTCATTACAGTTATAATTTGTGCACGAAAAACTGAAACTACAATTAATCAAAGCATTCTTACCCTGCATTATAGAAGAATTCCTCAAATGTAAAATTTGGGTGCTGTTTTTGGTAGACTTGTAGAGCCCGTTCTCCTAAAAAAAAGTTATCATATCAGTCTAGTGTACGTATTCGGACTTAGCGTGCAATTGCACACCAACACACATTCCCGCAAAAACAAATATATAGGCGATTCATAGCACGCAAAGATGCGGACGTATCGGCGCCTCCCTAATCGAGCGCTCTTTCGCTTCTCTCACCATCTGCCGTCTCTCCCATGCACAGACTATCTCGGTCGGACGCAACAGCGTCCACTCTTTGCGTGTCATGAATCGACGATACTTGTTTCGAGCGCATGATATAAAAGTAAATGCCCATAATTTTTTGATTTGAAGTTTGGAAAAAGGCACATAACGAGATATAACCGAGTCATTTGTAACTGATGTACTTGCATACTACGCGCGCCAACCGACGACACCTCACGACACTTCATTCGTAACTCGTCAGGAGATTTTCTTAGTGAATGAGCTGCGAAAAATGTATTAATACCTAACACAAATGCAATCAAACCAAAAGAGGGTGGAAACCAAGAGAGCGTGAACGATCGGATCTTGCATGTCGTGAAGTAGCGCGTGTAATGTGCAATACGAACATATCAATCTACTGATCCGACGGTAGTATATTTTACTGGGCTTGTTGTGCAATTGCACCAATGCCGTTAAAATCTGCTTTCAAATTATCACCTACCCACATGCAGCTCTGCTCGATCCGAATTACCATAAAGTGCCTCTGTATCCATCAAAGACTGGATGAGATAGTCTAGTAAGGTAACGGAGAAGTCACCCGTTTCGTTTAATTCTAAAAAAAGATAATCTCTAGCGTTCTTGCTATCTACAGTAATGACAATGACATACTCTTTATATAAGACTTCTTGACAGAGTTGAAGTTGCATATTGTGACCATAGGAAACTGCATGCCATTTTCACTTATCAAAAATGAGACCTAAAATGATGCGTAACTTGCATACTCTATCACAAATTCATTTGTTGGTTACTACATGTATGAGCAGTAAGATCTGCAGGAGTGGTAGTAATATGGTCGAAACCAACGAATGATGTGATGGTTTAATCATGATTACATCGTGGTAAGCATGATCATTTTCTTACGGCCGTTCAGTTCAATCGGTCATACAAAATTATGAAACATGCAAGTTACTTTCGGGAAACCATACTTGTTTCATTCTTGTTTCATTCTAAACCAAACTATGAGTTAATCAGCAGGTTAACACCATTGTTTCCTTATCAGATAGAGTAATGAAAATAGCATTTCATTTCATGAGACGCGGACGTGAAACCACCATATCATAGTTTAAAATGAAAAAGTACCCCCGACCACTTTTTCGTTTAAAACATTGATGTGTTGGTTTTGCAAGTTAAGAAGAGTGAGGGAGATCATTCTGCAACTTACTATGAGAAAGCTTACTTGTTTACAGCTTAGATAAGGTTATAGGAAGGTGCGCTGGAGACCTAACTGCAAATTTGGTAAAGTGCAATGATTGCCGACAAGCTTGGGAATGGTTGGAGTTTCGATCTCCTCCAATGACTTTGCTTCGCAAGATAGCATTTCGAGGTTTCCTATTGGTTAATTCGTGGTTTCGTTGGGAAAATGATGTGAAGCTCCTGGTTAGCTGGTGTCATGAAAACACAGTTAACATGATTTTCGACCATATTACTACTACTCCAGATTTTTGAGGTTAAGGATACTAATTGTTTGTGTTGCTGTTTCTTCTGGAAATTGATTTTCAAATTTATTATATCATTTAGCAAGACCAAAAAAGGTAGCATTTCAATTGACAAGAATATTGTAATGCAGGCATTTTGAACGGTTTTTTGGGTGGCTGTTTCTTACAAAGCTCAGAGTTGCTCATGCGTCGTTGGAACGCCGTGCCATCGTGGTGCCAGCGTTGTGCCGCAACGCACGTGGACAAGCCCTGTATTGATCGACCATGCTCCGGTATGGCGCTAGCACGGCGCTGACATGGTGAACTATGAACGCAGCCTTTGAGAATTATTCTAGCAAATAAAAGCAGATCTTGAGAAGGAATGCTTTCGAATTATAAATACAACTTTGGCAAAATCTCTTTAACATTTCTCAGCTGACCATTTTTCTCTATTCAGAAAAAACTTTCTCTTTTTGCCAATAATTCGACAACCCCTGCCAGCTAGATGTGTGATACTTTCGATGTGAAACTAGGCACAAGAGACCATGTGTCTTTTGTAAAGCGAAATGCACAGCGGGACGTTTTGGCGGTATTTGCGCCACCATAAATCTTCTTTCACACTGCGTACTTCTGTATTTTTCTCAACAGATTTCGTATCGAGCACATCTATAGGCTATGGTTTTTGGGTGTGTTTAAAACGATAAAAAAATTGTCATTGTAGTTTTGTACCTGAGAAACAATGGGATTACGAAAATACATGGACACAAGCGTGCCAACTTGATATAATAGTAGTAGTCCTGATCCAAACATCATGAGTATCCAAAAATATTTTGCGAATCTTTTGCCCGTGAAGATACGCTTTGGTCCGTGCATCGTTGTGGTATCTGAAAAGAGGCACGTCTAAAAATTAGTTTTTGTTAGTAAATTTTACAGTTTATCAAGTAGTGAGAGAAATAGGGGATCAGTTTTCATATCTTCTGTGAGTGTGAAGGGTATAAAATTGATAAAATTCAAACTATCAAAAATTTGAGATGCTTATCATGCATCAGGTTGTCCGGGAGGTAAGATTTCTGAAATTCGTAACTTACCGGGCAAATCACATGTTTCAATCGCGGCTGAAACAACTCTAAACACTACACTCGCCCATAATCGGCTTAGTGAGCGGACCAATTAGCGCCCTCGCGTATGGTACTAGACAAGATTTTCTAATAAAATTCTTGGCCACAAATGAATCATAGTAGTCGCCGCTAGGGTAATGGCTCAGTTAGTATAATCTCCGATCACTTTTAAAATAAGAAGCCTGAGCACTAAAATTTGCTTGGATGCTATTTTCGATGTAAAAATTATCTGAGCAGATCGCTGCACTAAAACAAAACGTTGAGAAAATTACTCATACGTTCATAGAAAATGCTGAAAGGTCCGATCAATATTCGACACTTTCGGAAAAATATGTTCTATAAGATTCTTGAGGAAAAAATAAGACAGATCAATTCTCGCTAACAAAACATCGATTATGATTGTTGCACTTTTGCGTTTTTTGATTATCATTGAATCTGCATAATAAGATTATAAAGTATATACTGCATACAATGAGAAAGAACTAATATACAGAGTATCCTAAAAAATGTGCACACTTTGATCGTTTTTTTCTCTTCCTTTGATATCTTTTGTATTTTAATTGTAACTTTGACTAACATGCTGTAGAATAAGATTCAATGAGATCTTCACTATAAAGCAATCACCGACCTCTCATCAATATCCTATGATTACAGTTGGAGCTTCTAGAAGCTCAGAAAAATGAGAATCATATCACAATCGAAAGAAGTAAGTACAAACAAGCTTCAAACTCTTATGCTGGGCTAATCAAGCTGATTTTATAATATTATGAATTCCGGTTATTCCATAAAAGTGTTTTTTCAGTGTTCGTCGGAAATGTGATCACACCATTGAAAAAGTTTAAAAATCTCAAAGATGGCTAATGAAATCAGCATACGTGATTATGCTACAGAATTGAAACTTTTTGAAAATCTTGTCAGACAGCCTACTGCACAATTTCTACAAGCTGGAAGTTCCTACCGTAATTCTGCAGTAGTGCAGAGAATCGGTGAATCGCTCTATACTGTAAATCTAAGTGCCACCTCTAAAGAAAGGTACCTAAAGATGCGCTAAAGACATTAAAGCAAGAGAGTTATTAACGACCAAACAGTTTGCACATTTTTTGAGCCACCTTTCATTAGGTTGGCACATAAGTTTTGCAACTTTTCCCATAACTTTCTTTTTATTCAGTGTAGCATTCTCAATCTCCGGTATCATGTAAAATGTGAGTAAGTCGCAAGTTTGCGAATCGTTTGATTATCGATAACGTCGTTGAAAAAATTTCAACATTTTTCGAAAACCGTTAAAATTCGAGGATTCACGGTTTTTTTTGATAAACATGAAGCCGTACAAAACCTGAATCCTACAAGGAAATATAGGCAGTGTGTAGCCAGAAATTAACACATTAGAATCAGCAAAAAAACAAGTGAAAATCAGCGACAAATCAAGATAAGGCGCTTTTGAGAAGTAGAACCAATGCATTGCACCGTAAACCGTAAGCCGCACATAAGATGGCAAAATTCGGCAAAAATTTCTGCGTTTGCAGTTTACATCATAGTCCTTATATGGCCAGAAAATGAATGAGCTACTTTGAAAAAGGCAAAAATTATATAGAAAGTTGCTATGCGCCAACCTAATATATTGAGATGTTACCAACATTTTGAAATGTATTATCTTCCCTAGTGCTCAAATACCTAATTCTTTTAAAATCAAAGTAAGATCTGTGAATAGCATCTCGAATAATGCCTAAGGCTTAGCATGAAGTGCGTATACTATATTATAATCTTCTTACTTGAAAAATGTTGCGTTTCGCGGCTAATGGAGCCAATGCCTTCGGTATCTTTCATTCGACGCAAGTGCTCCACTGGAATCTCAAAAATCACTTGCGAAGCCCGCTGTTTGAAGCCGATCCGTCGTGGTGCAGGGCTTGAAATATCGGATTGCAAACAATATTTTCAAATTACGATAGAGTGCTGATTACCTTTCTTTCTCGTAGTAGTCATTGCAGTTGTTGAAACTCACCTGGAAGGAAATCAGTGAGTTTTTTTGAACCTAACTAAAACTATTATGAAAAATTTTAAACTCACATGTGGCGAGTGTGTATTAGAATCCATAGACGATACTTCGCTTGATGAGCATGGCCTGAAAAAGATTTTCAGTCACTTTTGTTTAGATAATGTCCGCTACATAAATTAAAGTTTTCAGCTCACCCATAAACATCCTTGCCACTGTTTGCAGTTTTCTCATCTTTTGGTTCCAGATAGAATATGCTGCCCATTCCGAGCAAACAAAGTTTTTCTCTTCGTCTCGTTAGATTCTCAAGAGAGAACTCGAACCCGAGAATTCCTCAGTCAGTAGTTTTTCTGAAATGATGTAGTTTGATTTTGTACTCTAACATACTTTAGGTATACGGTAGCGGGTTTGTATAGTTCTCAAACATGAGCTCATGACCTTAAAATCAGATTTGCAGGAAGCACGTTTTCAGTTATTTTCTGCTATATTCTCTTCGTATATTATGGAAATTAAAAAAAGATTGGTTTGAGCTAGTCACCGGAAGAGAAGGGAGACAGTTTCTTGGCATCCTACCATATGCTACCGTAGTTGGACCTCAGCGTTTGAAAACTGTAGTGAGCAGGGCTCGACACGAGCTGGCACCAGAGAATTTTGAAACGAAAACGAAGTTTCCATTGATTTTCGCTAAGTTTTACGGAGTCTCCTTCGACGCTGAACCCCAAATTAAAAAATCCTCGAAAATTGAAACGTCGACTAGAAAAAAATCAATTTGTCCACAAAAAAGATATTTTCTTTGCTTCTTGTCCTAAAAAACATATCCAGCTTGCCCCATGCAATTTGATGCCATGCCCTGGTAATGAGCTCGTCTTACTGCGAAAGTTTTGCGGGAGATTACGGTAGCATACAGTATATTTTCGCAAAAGTCGGCTATATGGGAGATAAACTATCGAAATGCAATTCATACAAGCTGTCGAAAAACTCAGTACTGTTTGACATAAGAGATGAAGAATTCATAACTTGGTACTCTCGAAGCTCTCAGCGAATCAGGACAGTTCACAGCTTTTTAGCTCTAAGGATTTTTTTCGATTTTTCACTCACCATAAGCAGTTGTTGTATTCGTAATCACATAAAATTTTTGGAGTCTAGCTTCGCTAATGTTATATTCTGCAGCCTCGGAAAAAATTTTGCAGATGATTGTTCATCGAATTTTATTTTCAAGTGTTATAGGAACAGACAGCGGGCTGAACTTGTAGCAAGCAAATGATTGATCATGTAGATTTTAACGAAGATAAGTAAAGTCTAGTTCGGTTCAAAGAGTGATAAGATCAACAATAGACAAAGTCACTCTTCGACTTTAAGATCTACAAAAGCATCTGTGAATGTATGTAAAATTAGGCAAAGAAAAACAGCGACGAATGGAAACATGAAAGGCAATAAACTAAAGGTAGCTTAGTAATAATAACAACAGATTATAATAAGAAAATGCTAAAAGATAATATATCACGAACAACGCATTTACCAAAATATTGAATCATTCTGAGCAGAATTTATCATATCATTTTAAGAAAATCGAATAAAAGAAGGAAAAGCAGTTTAAAGATTAAACTTGGTCACTTTATGCTTAAATTTTTGATCGGACGAAAATTTTGCGGACATTGCAGAAATCTTTGCAAAAAATTGTTCTGGACAATAACCGCGAAGTCTCGAGATTCTGACTAAAGAAGTTATTTATATGCATTTTGTTTCGTTATTCTTTAGCACCATGTTTTCAAGTTTTCAATTGTTGATTCGTTTGACTTTGAAATATGGCTAATTCTAACCCACAGAATACAATTCAGCAGTTTCTCTTGCATTTATCAGGTAATGTAAAAGGAGATGCCATAGAATTTCAACTAATATAAACGAAATTTCAATGTTGACGTATATCTGCATAGAAATAATAGTAACTTGGACATCCTGTGCTTTCCTTTCATATTGAATAGTTTTGAGAAGAGCTTGGAGGTTTTATACCACGTCCAGAGTAAGGAGACTAAAAAGAAGCAAGATAGAATTTCTATGCAGTGTTTTTTTCCAATGTACATAACTGTGATACAATAGAAATTCTCGTATCTGCTTTCATTTCTTTCAGCGCAAGAAAACTATCAATGCTGGAAATTTCTTCCAAGCTTTAAGCGCCCAGCAGATTCGCTACACAGTTAAATCTTTGTAAAATTTTTGGAATTATCTGACTGAAAAAATGGAAGAAAATTTACTTGCTTGAAATGGAAAAAAAGGCTGAAAAGTCAAGTTCGGGGACTGAAACAGCAAAAAATTTGCTTCCATTGACGACGATGAAACTGATTTTTCAATTTCTTTAAAAATCGTCTAGCTTTAAGAAATAAAGGAGTTCGAGAGCGTGGCTGTTAGTATTTCAAACCTGCACAAATTGGGAGTTTGCGTTTATGCGAAATATATTTTTTATGGGAAGAGAACGAAAACACCTTCAATTGTTAAGTTGGAAAATGGCTCGGAAGATATTTATGCCATGGAAGTGATGAAGTAGGTGGCAGGGGCGACCCAAAAAATATTGAAGTGAATAGTTTATGAATAAAGTTCTTGTAATTGTTGATACGAAGCTCAGAAGTAGAACAAAATATTTGACATTCTTGATTCATTACTAAAGAACGCTTTGGCGTGTTTGCGTTCTTACAGTCAAATTGCAATATAAAACGAACAAACTTTCTCGGAAATGAAGGTGTACAAGTTTGGTTTAAGATCATATCTTCTATCCGGTTACTCAGACAAAAAAATTAGACTTCTAAAGTATCCAAAAACTTCAAAAACCATTGATCATTCCGCTTATAAATGTTAACGGCTGACACGAAATTTTACAGAATACCAATTAGTGAGTAACTAGCCTCGCGTTTTTTGAAGGATTTGGATAATCGCTTATAATGCATCATCTGACCTTTGTTCCTGCTCGATTTCAAAAATCATAAACTTTTCGGTAAATATAAACAATGGAGCGATTTATCCTCATCTGACCTCGCCGCGAAGGGGCTACTGTCATCCACGACCACCAACAAAAAAAATCAAATGAAAGTGATTAAATTTTTGTGATTTGTCAGAACTATTTACTTATTTACACGTTAAATTGTGTTACCCACATTATTTTTTAACGTTTAGTTCGTCCTACAGAAACGACTTTATTTTTTGCCAATCGTAATCACGTTTGGAACCTCGATGAAATTTGTTACCGTAATCTCGTGAAATTTGGAGAAATGAGCAAGCACATCTTTACTGTGACTTAAAGCTGTTTATCTGTGTTATAAGACATCAGCTTGAATTTGATTTTTACTGGTTGAATTAAAATATGTTCCCTCCCCACCCCCCCCCCCCCCCTCTCCCCCTTCCCTGCTTGTGAAAACCAGTACTCTAGGAATTCCAATCAAATGTAACAGAATCTATTAATGAAATTCTTGATTGTATTATTTATGATCTGAGAAGAACATGTTTGTAGGAGTGCCTAACGGCTCAATAAATATGAGACTCTCAGCTACCTATAGGAATATCAGCATCTAAAAAATTGGCATAGATTTGAAGAATTCATCAAAAAATTTTGGATGGATAATTTAAAAAATGATGTGATTTTCCAAACTTTTACAGGTTTGTTTTAGAAGAATGGAATGCCCTAAAAAATACCAAGATTAAGGAGAAGTTGCTGTTGACCGTCCCAAGTTATTCTTGGCCTCGATAAGGACATCAACGGGGCAACTTGCAGCTTAATTGCTTGATTAGGAATGCTCTGTATAGAATGATGCCGTAAAAATAACAAGCGGAAAACTGCGACTTCTGCGAACTGCTGAGAAATTTAAAATGCCAAAACAAGTGAGGAAACAACGAAAAAATTTTTCAACTTGGAGGTCTGAGTTTTTCAATAAATTTACAAACTAGGACGACGTCTTTGTCCAACAAATCTTAGAAAATCATGTGTATTCAAGTATGCACATTCAAGAATGTGTTAAGAAGAATAAATTCTGCTACAAGTGGTAGTTTGAATTGATGAGATAGTTTTGCAGTTCTGTTTGGTCGTATTTCGTGTGATTTGCTTTGATAGTACGAGCGGAAGAGCGCTAGACATTTCTTTTGTAGAGCCGCAGCTTTTACTTCTGCGACCAAAGTTCAAAAAAAGGCTAGGGGGTAAAAAACACTTAGAGACATAGCTGAATGTAAATTTGGAGGAACAGTGCGTTTGTAGCCCGCCCATGGAGGCGGGACCTCAATATTCTGGGCCATTCTCGCGCTTTCGTTCACATCTGTAGAAAAGCAGTTGCTGTCCGAAGAATTTTCTGAGGGGAAGGAGGAAAAGGCGGGCGCGACAGAAATTTTCCTAGTGAAGAACATGACCCTACAGGGCTAACTTAAATTTTCTACAAATTTGTAAGGCACACATTCCTCATTTACCAATGATAGCAATTTACCTGCACAATTTTACAATTGATGCAGGCCACCTAGATTTTTCCCTTCCTTTTCCCCTCAACCTGCCTTGAGCGGCAATTCTTAGACTAATCTAAGCAAGGCAAGTAAGGATTTTTCAACTAATTTAGGCTGCTTCTTCTTGAAGAATTTTGTTTGCTTAATGATCTTCCTCAGTGTCAAAAGTTCAAAGAATAATGACATTATTTAACATTTTCACTCACTGGATGAACAAAAACAGAAACGCTTGTGTATTTAACAAAAGCGGTTCCCTCAATCTCAAACAATACAGAAAAATTGAGTACTTTGAATACACACTCCACAAAATCTGTATATTTACTGAAAACTGCGAGTTTCAGATTACTGTAGCTCAATGCCAATCTAGCGCAATATGAACTAAACGGAAAGCCTTTGAAATTTTAGAAAAGAAAAAATAGTTTATGAATTGCTAATTACAGTGCTAAGCTTCTAGCATAACCCATTCTTCTAAAAAGTTAGCTTAGAGATGAGAACGAAAATGAGAGGCTATATTTTAAAGGTACAAAAAATGCTGTATTTTTAGTTAAAAATCTTTGGAGCTAGCTATTTTGCTCTCGCAAACGAATCAAGGACTGCGAAGCTTCACGTTCCAAATTTCCGCAGGATCTCAAGCCAAATCCTCAGATCAGCTTTTTTTCCTCAAGATGGCGTACGGTAGTCTTCGTACGAGCAATATTATCGTCCGAAACAACAATTGCAAAATGAAGAATTTGTTTCTCAAAAGAGATGTTCTAGCGATCAAAAAAAAAAAAAGTTAGTCTGTAGTTTTAT